TCCCACCAGCAATGGATGAGGGTACCCGTTCCTCCACAGCTTCTCCAGCAAAGGTTATCCTTGGTGTTTTTGACTTTAGCCATTCTGACAGGTGTAAGATGATATCTCAAAGTTGTTTTGATTTGCATTTCCCTGATTGCTAAGGAAGTTGAGGATTGGGAACCTGAAATGACCCTTTCCTAGAGCAATACTGACGAATATCTTGCATATCATCATAGAATCTTCATCTGGTGATGGATAGAGATAGAGACTGAGACCCACACAGGAGAACTGGACTGAGCTCCCAAGGTCCCAAGGAGGAGCAGAAGGAGGGAGAACATGAGCAAAGAATTCGGGACCACGAGGCGTGCATCCACCCACTGAGACAGTGGAGCTGATCTATGGGGAGCTCACCAAGGCCAGCTGGACTGTGACCGAAAAAGCATGGGATAAAACCGGACTCTCTGAACATGGCGAACAATGAGGGCTGATGAGACACCAAGGACAATGGCAGGGGGTTTTGATCCTACTTAATGTGCTGGCTTTGTGGGAGCCTAGCCAGTTTGGATGTTCACCTTCCTAGATATGGACGGAGGGGGGAGGACCTAGGACTTAACACAGGGCAGGGAACCCGGACTGCTCTGTGGACTGGAGAGGGAGGGGGAGAGGAGTGGGGGGAGGGGGAGAAGGGTGGGAGGAGGGGGAGAAGGGTGGGAGGAGGGGTAGAAGGGTGGGAGGAGGGGAAGGGAAATGGGAGGCTGGGAGGAGGTGGAAACTTGTTTTTTGTTTATGTTTTTTTTTCTCTTCTTTTCGCAAAAAAAAAAAAAAAAAGATTTGCTTCACCAGTTGTAATGCATTAGCTGAATCCTAAAGAGTTCCAAGGGACGAGTGCCCCCAAAGACACTGTTTACTGCCCTTACCATAATCAGTAATTTATTTCATAATGGTGACTCCAGAAACTGACTGCTTTCCCTGTACCGCCCCCCGCCACAGTGTACTCAATAAACTGTTCCTTCTATTTTGCTCTGAAGGAGAAACCAGGCTCCATATGCAAATCCTTTTCCTGTTACTTCAATGGACTACATGACTCAAATGGGGAATTTTAAATTCAGTGGTGTTACAGTCATTTAGTGTAACATTTTATTTGGCTTACTGAATAGAACAGGAAAATCATTGTCCAGAATACTAAATGATTGGGATTAAAGCTACCTGAGTCAACAGAAGAGGGCATATCTCAGAAATACTTTTCTAAAAGGCTGCACATACACCTGTTCTAAAATTTTTATGCTTTCCCAGGGATAAAGCATAGTAAACACTTTGAAGACGAACAAAAAAATCTGGTTAATAGCAGCATGCATTCAGCTCTGGCTAATGCTAGAAGAGGAACCAGTCTAGAACAGACTTCACATTCCACATATGCCGTCATCCTTTTTCTTCTTTTAGTTCATGTCCCAAGTTATACATTGAACAATATAGATAGTGACAGGAGCCTGCAAGTCTATCCATTTAGGAAGATGAAAATTTACAGAGCAAATCTATCTTTTAGATCATACATTATGATCTGCACCAAAGGGAAGCACTAAGACATTTCAAAGATGTACCATTGCCACAATCCTCACACATATGAACACGAAATAACACAAAAACAGTGGGAAAAAAACAAAGAAAAGTCTCCAATCCCCACTGTGAATGCTGTTATTAAATGAACAGGCTTGCTGAGCTCTTCAAACGTTAAAACAAGGCTGCCTTTTCCTCTAAGAGGGCTGGCTAGATTTTAAAATCACAGTTGCTTCCTTGCAGATCCAGAAGGAGTTCAGAATAACCAGACCTGCCCTCTGTCTGTCTCAGGGCTTTATTATGTTTTTGGTGTGTGGGTGTTTGTCTGCCATTTTCTGTGCACAATACCTAAGAGGCCAGAAGAGGGCATCAGAAGCCTTGAGATTGGAGTTACAGGAGATGGTTAGCTACCATTATTTCTTGCAATGGATCCTTTTCCTCTTCAACAACAGACAGTGCTCTTAGCTGATAAGTTGTCTCTACAAAGGCTTTTTTATTTAAAGTTTATTTTCATACATTTTACTTAAAACATTATATCACTTTCACCCTTCTTTGTTCTCTCTTCACTTTTTCATAAATTATTTCCTTCCATTTTTCTCCTTATTAAGCATGTGTTACTAAGTGTGTACAAATACGTGTATAAAACCTGCTGAGGCCATTTCTGTTGGTTGTGTATACTTAGATCCAGGGCTAAACGTGTATCATTGGATATTCAGTTAGTTAGCTTATCACTGACTAAATGAAATTCTTCCACTGAAATAAAACTCTAGTTGTTAATGAATGAAATGATCTGTCCCCACCATGACCTAGGCTTTCTTGGGTAGAAAACATTATCAAAATTAGAAAACCCTTGGTGCAAATATCATCAGAGTTTTGCTGGTGTAATGAATGAGTCTGAAGTTCTAGCCCTGCAGTGAACCTTCTGAACACTGATCTAAGCCAATCACAGTCTTTTTTGGAACTCTGGGCCTCCCTTCACACCCTTTTCACCATTCTCATCTCAGAGAACTTAAAAATCCAGAAGTTCCTGCCACCACTTTCTAAGTACCGTGACTACATGTCTGTGCCACCATGTTTGACTTAGATTGCTCCAGCTTCAATTATTTTGGCATAAAAAGATGGGATGAGAAAAAGAACATTAAGTTAACTTCATTATAATAGCACTTATCTCATTGAAACTGGGTTTTACTATCTTTAGAATAAATTCAGAACTATGTGCTAGTCACTTGATGAGTTATAAGAGACTCAATGGTAAAGAAAAACTTTACCATTTCGAAGACTGTAGACCTTAAGGAAGAAGGATAGTATTTGATGGGAGCCATCCTGTCACTAGAATTAGGTCTTCTTTTTAAGTACCAGAATTTCTTGACATCTTCACGTCATTTGAAGTCACCACCATTCATGTCTCCTAAACAAAAGATTTACAGTCATCAGGAGAGCAGACTATAATCACATTCAGAAAAGTTATTCTTCATGCCTGCAAGTTCCCTTTCTCTCCTTACAGGCGGCATAAACTCTAGCAGGGTTCCACCTGCCCTGTGTCCTTGTGGTATCCCATTGCTATTTACCAACTTTGGGCTAAACTCAGTTTTGTGGTTTCATCAAGGGTCTGTCACTTTAAAGACATTTGTATTTTCAGTTTCTCTCCTGAAAATCTTTTCTACTCTTCCATTGTTTTATGGAGATTTGGGCTCAAAGACATCTTTGTGCATATTTCTAAGTTGTTTTCTGATACTGCCCATCTTGTATTTCATTTGGGTCATTAGGGATGAGGCAAAGATGAACTCAGGATCACCCATTCACACATCACTGCTATAATGACATGCTCACTAGGCTGAAGAGATGGCTCAGCAGATAAGAACACTGGTTGCTTATCCACACGGCATGACTTTGTTTCCCAGAACCCACAAAACAGTTCACAATTCTCTTTAACTCCAGTGAAAGGGGATCAGATACCCTCTGATGGCCTCCACTCTTGGACTTGGTATGTACAATGACAAACTCAAGTCATCAGACAGCAGCAACAAACTTTATGTACTGAGAAATATTATGGTATTCACTCGGATTCTGAGGAAATGTTATGAACAAGTGGTTAGTCCTAAGGATAACACAGTCTACAAAAAAAGGAATAACAAAAGAAGAGATATCAGTTTCTCATTTTCAATCAAAAAATAGGTTTTATTATTTAAATTGTTTTTCCTCTATCTTTCAATGAAAATATGTTAACAACCTGAATAAAAGGCAACATTTTTGTGGAAGAATGTTTCAGTTAATCAGGGTTCTGATTTAGTGGGATACGTGTGTGGTGTGCAAGTCTGGAAACCGAATTTTGATCACCATATGAAGAGAGCAAAAATCCCACCTCAATAAGTTGTCTTATGTTCTTCACATAATTGTCAGGCCTAAAATTCCATAATCATATCACACATACATATAACAGAAACTATTTTTCAAATAAATCTCATTGATGTTACATTACCTTGCATCTCTGGATAATTCCCTTAGAAGGAAGCACTTCATGATGAAGTGACAAATGGATAACTAATGGGGACAGGAAGATGCATAGAGCTTCACATAATGTATACATATCCACAGGAGATCAAGCTATACTGTGAAATATTCACTTGATTACTGATTGTCCTACATTTTACAACTCTACCAGTTGGATGAAAATGATGCTGTCCAGTTTTTCTGCTCTCATGGAAGCTCACGCAGTGCAGGTGGAGAGACGCAGGAGGCTGGGGTGGAAGAGGTTGAGGAGCTCACATCCAGTGCCATGACAACAGCTGAGAAGCTCGCACTCAGCTTTGCCAATGCCGCCACAGGCAATGCTTCCTCTGTCCTGAGCAGGAGGCACCTGCCTCCCTCTGCCAACTGTCTTGTGTGGCCTCTGACCAGCCAGGGACATCTGACGAACATGAAGTCTGGTTTATCTTTCAGTATTTTGCTCTAAAACCAGATTTCAGATGGCCACATGAGAACTGCTATGCCCCATTGATATTTTCTGTAGGTGGCCCATGACACCTACCCCATCTAATTAAATGATAGGTGAGATTTGTTATCCTAAATATAACTCATAATTTGCTGATTGAATAGGGCAATATGTCAGAAAGCCTAACCGTCCAAGGTTTCAATAGCCTCTTCATTAACACCAGGTGCAAGATTTTACAAGATGTATATGATGTCCCTCTACATCACTATTTTTATTTCTGAGGCTTAGACTTGTCCTCAATACTTTTTCTTTTTTCTTTAATATTTATTTACTTATTATGTATCCAACATTTTTTCAGCTTGTATGTCTGAAGGCCAGAAGAGGGCACCAGACCTAATTCTAGATGGTTATGAGCCACCATGTGGTTGCTGGGAATTGAACTCAGGACCTTTGGAAGAGCAGGCAATGCTCTTAACTGCTGAGCCAACTCTCCAGCCCTCAGTATGTGTTCTTTTATGTGTTTTTAGACTACCCAGTTGTGAAAAGGCCTTATCACATTGATTACATTCATAGGGTTTCTCTCCTGTATGGATTCTTTTATGTGTTTTTAGATTACTGATATATGAAAAGGCTTTACCACATTGATTACATTCATAGGGTTTCTCTCCAGTGTGTGTTGTTTTGTGTATTCGGAGTTTAGAGTGCTCCCAGAAAGCTTTATCACACTGATAACATTCAAAGGGCTTCTTTCCAGTATGTCTTCTTTTATGTCTGTGAAGCTCACCATGACTCGCAAAAGCTTTATCACATTGATTACATTTATAAGGTTTCTCTCCAGTATGTGTCCTTTGATGTACTCGAAGATTACTGTTCCGTGAAAAGGCTTTACCACATTGATTACATGTATAGGGTTTCTCTCCAGTATGTGTCCTTTGATGTAGTCGAAGATGACAGTTCTGTAAAAAGGCTTTACCACATTGATTACATGTATAGGGTTTCTCTCCAGTATGTGTCCTCTGATGTACTCGAAGATGACAGTTCTGTAAAAAGGCTTTACCACATTGATTACATGTATAGGGTTTCTCTCCAGTATGTGTCCTTTGATGTACTCGAAGATGACAGTTCTGTAAAAAGACTTTACCACATTGATTACACGTGGAGGTATTTTCTCCAGTATGTCTTCTTTTGTGAAGTTGGAGATTATACTGACGTGCAAAGACTTTACCGCATTTATTACATTCATAGGCTTCCTCTTTAGTCTGTGTTCTTTCATGTATTTGGCGGTTAGAGTGTTTTGAAAAAGCTTTATCACATTGATTACATTGATAAGGTTTCTCTCCAGTATGTGTCCTTTGATGTACTCGAAGATGATTGTTCTGTGAAAAGGCTTTACCACATTGATTACATGTGTGGGGTTTCTCTCTAGCATGTGTTCTTCTAAGTATTTGGAGACAAGTGGTAGCTGCAAAGCCTTCATCATATTGAATAACATCATAGGACTTCTCTGTAGAATGAATTTTTTCATAGCTTTGAAGATGATTATAACATGCAAAGGCTTTATCATATTGAGTATATTCAGAGGGTTTCTCTACATTATGGTTTCTTTCATTCCTGTGAAAATAATAGAGACATGTAAAAGATTTACCATGTACATAACACTGATGCATTTTAATATCTGTATAAATTAATTTTATAAATATGTTTTATTGTAAAAAGGAATCAGATTTTAAGTTTTACATTCGTGGTGCTCTCCTTCAGTATGAGACGTTTTGTTTCTTTGAAGAACCTTTGATGGTAAGGGTTATTTTATAAATGACCCCCATTTATAGTATCATTTTATTTAAGATTTTTTTGCATATATGAATGGAATGAGACTAACTCAGTCTTAAATAACCTTACATTCCTTTTTCATTCTTATGTTTTCCTGTAGTGCAATACCTACCACAAGAAAGTGTACAACTACAAACAAAAGAAAGTACACAGTCCAACACTCATAGGGCTTATCTTCAGTGTGAGTTTGCTGATGTCTTCCCAAGGAAGTTTGAAAACCAATTAAATATAATCATATAGCAATTCCACAAATCTACCCAGTGTTGAAATACTAAATATCTTTCCTAGATTCTAATTATTCTGAAAGAGATACAGTCTCTCTTTCCATTTTGGTAGCTGACTTGTGACATATGACATTCTTAATAAAGGAAGAAGAAATAAATGGTTGTACATTGAATTCACACAGTATGACTTTCTGCTCCTCACAGACATGCGGTATAGGAATTAATGTTTCTCCACAAGAGCCTTTTTTACTCTCATGACCCAACTCTTTCAACAAGTTTGGCAAAGTCACAAGTACATGAGTAACATGCGCTTTACTACAGAGGATTTTTGGCACAGTTTTAAACATATACTTATTATCTATTCATTGTGTCTATGTGTTATCTGAGTGGTATGAAACTAAATGGATTAGCAGCTCTACAGTATAATTCTCACGGTAGCATCAGTTAAGACATTGTTTTCTTCTCTTCTGTTTAGAGGAATGCACACACCATTTACCTTATATTGAGGCATATGATTTTATGAGAAATTAATAAACCATATAGGTTATGGCATGCTTATTTGTACTATTTTTTTCTTTAAATCTTCCAGGACAAATTAAAATTTCTTCAGAGACAAATATACACCAAGTTGCAAATAAAAATTACCTTCCATGTTTTCTAGCACATTGACAATACTCTTCAAAATTATGGTCTTCCCAACTGTAGCCTAAAATAAAGGAACAGAAAGTAGACAATATATTAAAGGATATTGTACAAAATTGAATACCTTAAGTGAACTATGCCTTAGTTATTTGGCTCATTCTTACTCTTTCTCCAACAAAAATATAAAAAAAGTATCAATAAATAATACAGGGTAGTCCCCTTATTTTAAATGTAAAGGAAAGTTCACAATCTTACCAGTAGCGGTGAGGTTCCTGTATGTCTCCAGCATCACATCTTTGTAGAGACTCTTTTGGGAAGGATTCAGCAAAACCCACTCCTCCTCAGTGAAGTCAATGTGAACATCCTCATAGGTCACTGAGTTCTAGAAGAATCCAATCAACAATAAATCAAAGTGTGATCCTGACACAGGATACTTCTTTTACAATGATATATTTGTATATTGCTGCTGCTTCCCACACTTCTTTCTTCCATGCCATTGCATTAGAATATAAAGAAAAGTCACTGTAGAAGGAAACTGAAGAAGAGGCTCATATGTGCCATTCGTTGGCCCTTTAAAAAGGATACAGCCTTGAGAAAGAAATGCCAATAAACAAACACACAGAGATAGACAAGCAAGCACATCAATACTACTGAGAAAACATTACAGAAATAATAATACCAATGATTATCTAGAAAAAGGATGGCAAAATTGGATATATTCATTTGTGACTTTAATTCCAGTGATCAATGTAAAAGCAGATGAAATAAATTGAGTTTGATGTCGGTCAAAGCCTATGAAATGGCTTGCAGGTAAGCCAGAGTTACAAATTGATAAAACCCAGTATCCATCCATAATCATTTAAATAAAAAACGTAAAAGGAAGCCGGGCGATGGTGGCGCACACCTTTAATTCCAGCACTCGGGAGGCAGAGGCAGGCGGATCTCTGTGAGTTCGAGGCCAGCCTTGTCTACAGAGCTAGTTCCAGGACAGGTTCCAAAGCCAGAGAGAAACCCTGTCTCGAACCCCACCCAACCCCCCCAAAAAAAACGTAAAAGGAAATCAGAGGTTTTAAATGAAGTTCTTTTTTTTTCTTTTTTTTTTTATTGCGAAAAGAAGAAAAAAAAACATAAACAAAAAACAAGTTTCCACCTCCCCCCAGCCTCCCATTTCCCTTCCCCTCCTCCCACCCTTCTTCCCCTCCTCCCACCCTTCTCCCCCTCCTCCCACCCTTCTCCCCCTCCCCCCACTCCTCTCCCCCTCCCTCTCCAGTCCACAGAGCAGTCCGGGTTCCCTGCCCTGTGTTAAGTCCTAGGTCCTCTCCGTCCATATCTAGGAAGGTGAAATCCAAACTGGCTAGGCTCCCACAAAGCCAGCACATTAAGTAGGATCAAAACCCCCTGCCATTGTCCTTGGTGTCTCATCAGCCCTCATTGTTCGCCATGTTCAGAGAGTCCGGTTTTATCCCATGCTTTTTCGGTCACAGTCCAGCTGGCCTTGGTGAGCTCCCCATAGATCAGCTCCACTGTCTCAGTGGGTGGATGCACGCCTCGTGGTCCCGAATTCTTTGCTCATGTTCTCCCTCCTTCTGCTCCTCCTTGGGACCTTGGGAGCTCAGTCCAGTGCTCCTGTGTGGGTCTCTGTCTCTATCTCTATCCATCACCAGATGAAGATTCTATGATGATATGCAAGATATTCGTCAGTATTGCTCTAGGATAGGGTCATTTCAGGTTCCCAATCCTCAGCTGCCCAAGGAACTAACTGGGAACCTCATCTTGGGCACTAGGGAGCCCCTCTAGGGTCAAGTCGCTTGCCCACCCTAAAGTGGCTCCCTTAACTAAGAATTGTGGTTCCGTGCTCCCCTATCCACCTTTCCTTTATCCCAATTCTCCCGTTTCCCAGGTCCCCCCTCCTTCCCTTCTACCTTTTCTCTCCCCATCTCCCCTTACCCCCATCCCACCCCCCCCCCAAGATCCCATTTTCTCCCCGGAAATTTGGTCTACTTCCCTTAGCGAAGAGGACAACTATATGTTTTTCCTTCGGTTCACCTTCTTCCTTAGCTTCTTTAGGTTCACCTATTGTAGACTCCGTGGTCCTTATTTATGGCTAGAAACCAATTATGAGTGAGTACATCCCATGTTCATCTTTTTGGGTCTGGGACACCTCACTCAGGATAGTGTTTTCTATTTCCATCCATTTGCATGCAAAATTCGAGAAGTCATTGTTTTTTACCGCAGCGTAGTACTCTAGCGTGTATATATTCCATACTTTCTTCATCCATTCTTCCATTGAAGGGCATCTAGGTTGTTTCCAGGTTCTGGCTATTACAAATAATACTGCTATGAACATAGTTGAACAAATGCTTTTGTCATTTGATAGAGCATCTCTTGGGTATATTCCCAAGAGTGGTATTGCTGGGTCCAGTGGTAAGTTGATCCCGAATTTCCTGAGAAACCGAAACACTGACTTCCACAGTGGTTGCACAAGATTGCATTCCCACCAGCAATGGATGAGGGTACCCGTTCTTCCACAGCCTCTCCAGCAAAGGTTATCCTTGGTGTTTTTGAGTTTAGCCATTCTGACAGGTGTAAGATGATATCTCAAAGTTGTTTTGATTTGCATTTCCCTGATTGCTAAGGAAGTTGAGCACGACCTTAAGTGTCTTTTGGCCATTTGAACTTCTTCTGTTGAGAATTCTCTGTTCAGTTCAGTGCCCCATTTTTTAATTGGGTTAATTAGCATTTTAAAGTCTAGTTTCTTGAGTTCTCTATATATTTTGGAGATCAGACCTTTGTCTGTTGCGGGGTTGGTGAAGATCTTCTCCCAGTCAGTAGGTTGCCTTTTTGTCTTAGTGACAGTGTCCTTTGCTTTACAGAAGCTTCTCAGTTTAAGTAGGTCCCATTTATTCAATGTTGCCCTTAATGTCTGTGCTTCTGGGGTTATACATAGGAAGCGATCTCCTGTGCCCATCTGTTGTAGGGTATTTCCCACTTTCTCTTCTATCAGGTTCAGTGTGTTCGGACTGATATTGAGGTCTTTAATCCATTTGGACTTGAGTTTTGTGTACGGTGAGAGATATGGGTCTATTTTCATTCTTCCACAGGTTGACATCCAGTTGTGCCAGCACCATTTGTTGAAGATGCCTTCTTTCTTCCATTGTATACTTTTAGCTCCTTTATCGAAAATGAGGTGTTCATAGGTTTGTGGGATAAAATTCGGGTCTTCTACACGATTCCATTGGTCGGCTTCTCTGTTTTTATGCCAGTACCACACTGTTTTCATTACTGTAGCTCTGTAATAGAGTTTGAAGTCAGGAATGGTAATGGCTCCAGAAGATCTTTATTGTATAGGATTGTTTTGGCTATCCTGGGTTTTTTGTTTTTCCATATAAAGTTGATTATTGTCTTCTCCAGATCTGTGAAGAATTTTGATGGGATCTTGATGGGGATTGCATTGAATCTATAAATTGCCTTTGGTAGAATTGCCATTTTTACTATGTTGATTCTCCCAATCCAAGAGCAAGGGAGGTCCATCCATTTTTTGGTATCCTCTTCAATTTCTTTCTTCAATGCCTTAAAGTTCTTGTCAAATAGATCTTTCGCTTCCTTGGTTAGATTTACCCCAAGATATTTTATGCTGTTTGTGGCTATCGTGAATGGTGAAGCTTCTCTGATTTCCCTCTCTGCTTCCCTATCCTTTGTGTATAAGAGGGCGACTG